ATTGCCACCCAAAAATATAAAAAAATCAAATCGGCAAGTTTAAATTTACGCAAATCAGCCTCAACAGTGTCGATAGATGGGGAGATTTGGGGAGTTTACCCTAGTATAGGTTAGAAAAATTCAGCTGAACTAGCTCTGGTATAGGCTAAGGGTTCCAGGGTTCCAGCGGCACATCCCCACCCAGAAATTCCCAAAGTACCCCCCCTCGGGCTACAAGACTAATGACCAAGTAGAAAAAAAGCTTTTTCCCTTATTGACATGATGAAATGTGAATGTCCTACCGAAATTTCGTCTGGGAGTAAAAATCGAGCCTTTCTGATCCGCCGCAGTCATTGAAGCGCAAATTAATGTTCCGAGTGGTAAAATCTGTAGACAACGCGTTTGGAAAGTTCTTTCAATCTAACAAACGATAATGTCTTGTGTTTTTCAGGCGCTGCTGGAGGCGGTGGCGTGTGTAAGTTGTACTGATTGTGGAGCATACTTCCGGGTCAGAAATAACGATGATGTCTCGGCAAAATTAAAAGTGAGGAATTATTTTTCAATTACCAAAATTGAAGTGAATCGAAAGTTGCAGTTGCTTAAGGAGTTAGAGCGAAAAATTCGAGAGGAAGACAACAAGTGTTGTTACAAAAATTACATGTTTTTGATGACCAGCGGACAGTGAAGTGGTCTTGCATAATATACCAAAAGGCGAGTCTTTGTTCAGTTTACAATATTTTCCTCATTTAATAGGATAAGCGATTTAGTTTCTGATCGACCTACAAAAATATCAGTTTCGAATGCTGACAGGTCATATCACGATTAACTTGAATTTGAAAACGACATATGAAATACTTTTCTGCGCCCCTCGTGTTTACAAAGCCGACATTTTACGAAAGAAAGTATGGGCTCCTTGACGTTTTTGCCACCCAAAAATTTTGCAGTGTTTGAAAACCAATAGCCTGCGAGCAGGCTCACCTTTGAGTCGCGCGCGAGCAGCGAAGAGCAAAGCGATCCGGCGGGAAGGAGTCTGGTGAAGAGGCGTCATTTTCTCGTCTCGCGGCTTCGCCGCTCGATTTCGTGCTCGTGGCTACGCCGCGCACGCTTGTGCTCCAACGTGAGCCTGCTCGCAGGCTAGAAAACCAATGTCTCCAATATTTCACTATTCCTTAAAAATTTTCGGTTTTTGGAAGGTTGAGACGGAAACCTTTAAAAGAAACAGAAAGGCGATTCCTCAAAATTTTGCTTTGCCTCAATGTGGATGGAAGAGTTAGTTTTTATATTCAAATTAGGGTTTAAAGATTCAGCTAAAATCTCTTGCGACATAATAACAGACAGAAACAGACAGATAATCAGTATCTACTTATTCGCTATTGAACGAATTTCGGAAGATCGCTAGGTTTTTACTTTGGAGTGCTATAGTTCTATGTCCAGTTATTCATGTAGCAACGTTTTCATTTCCCAGTTTCGGTTGTTGTGGCAGCTTGTGTTACTAACGCAAGCTTAGTGTACGAGCTTTATTTGACGTGGTTTTTGACTGAATAAAAACTGACAGGTAAATTTTTCTTTATTGTCTTGTCATCTCAACCAATAGATGGGCCTCCTAGGCATAAGACAGGCTCGTTTTATCAAAGGAGCACTGTGATGAGCATGACCTCGAAACGTGGAAACCTAAAAATACTGGGTTTTTTTTTCAAAATTTGCAATATTTTAAGCTTTAAAGGAGTGTTGTTACGAGTTACGCATGCATAAATTCTATCGTAGCCTTAGAAAAATCGCTAGCAACTAATGACAATTTAAGAAAGCAAAGATGGATATAAAATTCCTCAAGAAGAAAGCTAAGAGTCCCACACGAGTATTTTGACCTAAACTACGATGCACAAGCATTGCCCGAGAGGCAGGGGTGCTTATATGAGATACACTGAATCTACGGGAATTTTCATCCTCAAGTTTAGAGATTCTATTTTTGGCGATGTTCAGGCAGCATTCCAGTTGGGACGGTTTAACTTCGGGAAATTAAGGGATTGCATACATTTTAATTTCTCCGCCATTCACGCTTGGTTGGTGGGTAATACGACGCCCATAGAGATGTCAGTCAGTCTAAATTGCTGTCACATACTTCAAAGCGAAAATTGTTCGTGAGGAACATTTTAGGTAATGGGAAACTTGATTTCATCTAATTAAAGAGGAAAACAACTAAAAGAGATGGAAATTACCTCAATAATGATCATTTTTATTTCGCTAAAAGCTGACTAGAGATTGGTGTACGTAGCGATTAAGAGTGAAACTTCCTTCAACTAAAAAACTCTAAAGTAACCCGATTATTTTGTAATCCCCTCAAAGTCCTCCTGTAAGAGCTAAGTGTTTCAGCCCAGCCACAGCAGACTGGAACCCGGCATTGTAATCTGTAGCCACCTCGTTCTTAATAAAATCCTTTCTGTCATCCGTATACTCGTCATTCTTACCCGGGCCTCCCACTAACGCGCCGTACAAAGTCTGCGGGTTGGCACTTGGACTGTTAAAGTTATCCCAGTTACAAGGGACTGGAGAGAGCGGGCAGGAACTGCTCCGATGATGAGGCCTCTCTGGTGGATTGGTACCAAATCCTACTACAAAACTGCGCCCGCTATCACCCAGCATATAATGAATTTGCTTCTTTGCAAATTCGCGGAACGCAGACGGTTTTACTCCTTGGTCAGCGGCGACTAGTGCCAAGAACGCTGTGTTGGCCGAGTAGCGGTTTGGACCCCACTGATCTCGCCACGCAAGGCCTTTTGGGGTGTAGTGTACCTCGTGTCCAGGCAGCCAGCTTGTGATGAATGTATCCACAGCTTGCTTGTACGAAGCTTTCTTTGTTATCTCAGCCAGAAGGACTTGTACGCCAGCTTTTTTGTCGTCCCATGAAAATGCCCAGGGCTTTCCATTCATACCAAATTGTTTGTAATACTGCTCGGCCTTTGTAAGGTATTTTTTATCTTTTGTTGCCCTGCAGGAAAAAACATTGCATTTGTAAATACCCTTTGTCAATTAGTGACACAAGCTATTTGTCATGAAAAACATTATGGGTACTCTAAAGAGGATTCGAGTCATTTTAGACCTTCCACTAGCAGAGGAAGGTCATTTTATTGACACTCGCGGACACCTCGTGACTACGGACAGTGTCTTGATCAAACACCCTGCTACTGAAGTCGAGATATCCAGATCATGATCAATAAAAATTTCCAATACTTTCTCGGTAGATAAGATTAAAACTCAATGGCACTGACATAAGTATTAGAGCAATGAGATTTGAGACAAGTACAGCAAACTCAGTTTACATGGTTGTTGTTGTATTTCACACCTCTGTCCCGAATCCCCCGATCAATCAATCGATCGATCAATCAATCAATCAATCAATCAACTTTATTTAAGTGTCTAAAACTTCTAGTTAGCTCGGAGGCCGACTAATCGGGAACACTCCCAATAACGTTACCGAATAAATTAAGTTAAGTTAAGCTAAGCAATCTTCATCAAAGTTAACTCTCGATCAGTAAAGTTCCCTTACTTGTAAAGCCAGGCTGCTCCCCAGACAAGCTCGTCCTTGTACCCACTAAAGGATCGGTAAAAACTGGCTGCGTTAGGAATGGAATCACTGTACACCCCGCGGTATTTGTCTGCAAACTCGTAAAGGTCTGCCGCATGTTGGAGTAGTTTCATGGAGTAGCTTACATCTGAAAAGCGAAAGGCAATGGAAGCGGCTGCCAGGGCGGCCGCAGTTTCAGCAGCCAAGTCGGATCCTGGTTTCTGTGGAGTAATTTTCCAGGCTGGACGCGCCATCGTCATGTCTTCTGGTCTACCCCAGTAGGCGTGGTCGGTGTGTCCATCACCAACCTAAGACAAGAACAGTTAAAGTGTGCTGCTGTATTACAGTGTTGGGAGAACGTTATCGTTGTTGTAAGATTGAGCAGTACTTTGAATAATTCGACCAATTCCACATTGATATGAAATAAATGCTGACGGTATGGGTAAATTACATACTTCTTATATCAAGGAAAAAGCCGACTGATATTTGTTCGATTGTATCAGAAGAATGACGAATGCAGCCTTGTTTCCTTTGTCGAGTGCTTAAATGTCATCTGTGAAAAGTATATTTTATCAGTAACATTACTTTGGTGAGTTACGTTTATAGGTTTTAGCACCAGCACAGAAAAATTTATCCAGCGGCCGTAGCAAAGCACATGTCAAATAATCAGTAAGTCAGTCAGTCAATCAATCAGTCAGTCAATCAGTCCGTCAGTCAATCAGTCACTCAGTTTGTCAGTAGGTCTGTAGGTCAGTCGGTCAGTAGGTCAGTCGGACAGTCGGACGGTCGGTCGGTCGGTTGATCAATCTATCAGCTTGAACTTGCTAATATGTATTGTTGTTTTATTTCGCAATAGACCCACCTGTCCATAGAATTCCTCCTGTTTAATGTGCGCTTTCATAAAATAGTCTAATGGCCACTTAATGCAATCTAACATATAGTTCAACTCGCCAGCATCTACATAAGCATCTCTGTATTCAACCAAACCCCACGACAGCATAGTTACACTGAACGCCATTGGAAACCCAAACTTGACGTAATCTCCGGCATCGTACCACCCACCACTTAAATCCTCACCATTCTGTCCGCGGTCATTCAGCGCCGAGTCTTTTCGCCAGGGAACTCGGTTGGAAATAGGAAGTTTCCCTGATCGTTGGGCTTCGTAAAACAAAATGGAGTCGTGAAGAACTGAGTCATAGTCGTATTTGGGGGGCTTACTAATAGGTCGACCTGTGGTCGGCGCTTCAGTCGTAATTGGTGGTTCTGTGGTTGTTGGCGCTTCAGCCGTAGTTGGTGGCTCTGTGGTTTTTGGCGGTCCAGCCGTAGTTGCTGGCTCTGTGGTTGTTGGTGGCTCAGCTGTAGTTGGTGGCTCTGTAGTTGTTGGTGATTCAGTCGTAGTTGGTGGCTCTTTGGTTGTTGGTGGTTCAGTTGTAGTTGGTGGCTCTTTGGTTGTTGGTGGTTCAGTTGTAGTTGGTGGCTCTGGTGCTTTAGTCGTAGTTGGTGACCCTGTGGTTATCGGTGGCTGAGTAGTACTAGGAGCACATCCCCCTCCACCACCTCCAGTCCAGTTTTCTTTGCGGCGGAATTCAATTGCGGCTTCACTTGGTGCGTCAGAGTTCATTTTTTTCTCTCCAATGATAATCATCTCAAGCTTGGAACATTTTTTAAGGAAAGCGTTATGAGGTTGGTTCTCCAGTGTATACACCTTACGATCCTGAGATCTCCATTTCTTGTGCGCTTTAGGTGTTTGAAGGCTGTTAACAGGAATGGGGAACCTTAGCGTCATTTTCCATCCCCCTTCAACCTTCTGCTGCATAAGAATATTAATACTCATCTTAAATCCATTGGGCCAGTCTTCAATCAATTCGGCGGTAGATGTTTCTTGCACGGGAGGGGTCGCTCCAGGCGGAATGACGGTTGGGGGTGGGGACATATCGCATTTGGCATTCCTTCCTGGGTGAAGCTCGAGAGTTGCTGATGGCGCTGCTTCATTGTTGATGGCCTTTTGGCCAATAAACTCCATCTGCAGCCTCGATCCAGCCTGAAGATCCGCGTTGTATTGCCGATTCTTCAAACAGAAGACCCTATTCCCCTCGTCAGCAGACAGCCAATGAGCGTTCGGAAATTGCATTGGACCCACCCGCTTTGAAAACTTGAGGCTCATTCTCCAGCCTCCTGTTACGCTCTGAGACATGACATGGTTAATTTTCATTTTGAAACCACTTGGCCATTGCTCCAGCAGGTGAACTTGTATGTCTTCGCTCTGGCCGAGCGAAGCGAGACACAGAAACAGTAACAACTGCCTCATATCACAAACGTACAACTCTAGGGGAAAGATACAAGAACTGATATCACAAACTAGAACATGAAAGTCTAACGATCATTGAAAATATTTGTCGTAAAGTAAGAAATAACCACTTTTTATAATCCCTTATCTCTATCTGCTTCAGCAATCATTTCATAAATCGTCATTAAATGTTTCTGTCGTTAAGAGCAATATGAAATCTGTTTAAATTGATCTAAATTAGTGCCGTATCCCGTATTACAGTTCTCCGGCAGGTGCTTTCGCATAATTTTTCTTTTTTTTTTTTTCATGATAATGCAAGAGGTCAGTTGTAAATGCTTGATTGAAGTGATATCCACAATGGTGCACTGGATCAGCTAAAACGATTTGCCTGCAGGATAGCAAAAAGTCAATCTAAGCATTGAATTTCTTTCTGTATCAATATCAGTGTTGTACCTCAATTTTTAAAATATAAGTTAGGTTATCTTTCATGGTATTATTTCTTATCAGACCATCTTCAATCCATCTCCTTGATACTTAAATAATGTTTCTGACATGTAACTGACTGTTTGTTCTAATTTCTTCGATCCGCAAATCATGTTTACTTTTTTCCAGCAATAATTGAATATTTCGCGTTCCACTTGTATTTTACAGAACATATGAAGTCGTATCCTCCAAATTGCAAACCCCAGGTAAATTAAAGGCGAAAAAAGGGCATGGAAGCTCGTCCAAAAACGTCAAACTTTTGAAAATCAACTTCGATTGAGCTTCGATAGAGTTAAGTGTGGAAACTGAGGGAAACATCTCTCTTCATGAGTCTGATTTGATGGGATTTTTGTAAATTTTGGAAATCACTAAACATTAGAAGCTGCGGAGCAGGAACAATACGCGCCGATACGAAATTTGCTCGATTTACCAACATTACCGTCGAGTTCGTCTTAAACATTAGTTTCTTCTTTTAGGTTAATATACCCTGCCAAATGAGCTACACAGCAATCTGAGTCAATTTTTCAATCATATTTTCGCTGAAAAGATGACATTAATTTTGTTATGTAGAAAAATAAATCAAAAGAATAATACCTCGCTTGGAAAGTGACTTGGTCGACAAAAAGCGACTTTCTTCCCAGAGAAGGAGTGTTTTAAAAACTGAAGATTCCTGGCGAGTGAGCTAAATTTAAGTGATTTACTCTTAATACAAGGCACTGTTTATACAGGCGGCAATGGCTTTGATTCGGAGAAACAATACGAGTCTTCCATAAATGAAAATTACTGATTGACGCAAAAAGTCATAGTTTTGTCAAGAAACCTCTTGTTTGTTCTGCTGTGTAAAGCAAGAGTCTGGAGCTGGCTAGTAACAAACCTTTTCATTATTTCTTGTTGTCTTGTGGAGTATTGTCGGCAACACTCACTTGATAACGGCTATCAAAGAATACAACGACTACGTTGAAACCAAACAAAGCCAGACAGAAAAAAAAGCATACATTGTCATCTTGTCTCGCCTATTTTTTCCGCCTACACTGATTGCCATAACTACTGAGAGAACATAGTTTATAAAGTCTTAAGTTTTGAAGAATTGCCTGCCGGAAACTTTGCTCCTTTGGAGGGATTCAGTACGTTAGTGTTTCACCCATAAGCTCACATCAATCTCTTGGCTATCAGTAATATATTGTTGCTATTTAAATAATATAAATGCCGGTATTTCTTTGTAAACAAGCGTGCCATATCTTTGTAGAAGATGCTAATTGCCTTTTTGTGCACTGAATAGCCTGCAGTGCAGGCGTCGTATTGGGGCGAGTTAGCGTTACAACCTTGCGACCGCCATGTTAGACGGTGGGGGATGGGGGAGGGGAAAAATGAAAAGACACTAAAGAGATTCCTCGAGAGCGCAATCGAAACTAACAACACCACTTTCGACAGAGTTCGCCATGTTTCTTTCCCGCACAAACGAAATGAAGGAATTTGGTTGGTGATTGACAGACAATTGACAGGCAGGGTCGAGCCGCACCAGTCAGAAACTCCGTTCGTGGGCGAACGGAGTTTCCTCGACAAGTTGTCTCGACAAGTCTTTCTCTCTTCCTTATCCTCCGACATTATCTAATTTGGTAATACCTCATCACCAGAATCCGAATATACTTGCCTCTAAGAAGACCCACTTGATATTTACGGCCAATACTGCGGCCAGAGTGTTGTCATAGTTTCACCCTTAAACCATTTTTAGCGGCTAAGTCAGCCAACACTTTCATGTGCCAATTTGAAGAAAAATGGGCAATTAACGACAGCCGATTCTGTCCTTTACTTTGGTACAGACGTGTATTGATGACACAATAACCATGTTTGACAGCAAACACACTGCTAATGGATCCTAGTGCGTTTTCACGGTATCTAAACAGTCGACACAATAGCATCAAAGTCACTATTAACAAGACAGTACGATTCCTTTTTTAGACATACTTGTCAATCACTGCCCCGACAACACTTTCATGACATCCGTTTACCGGAATAAGACATTCACAGAGGGGGCCATGGGGTTTGCGGAATTGCGGTATTGGACAATTTTTCTAGTGATATTTCGGTAATTTTTTTTTGAAATCTCGAATTGCGGTATTGCAGTAATCTCCGAACCCGCGGGATGCGGTCTTTTAGCATCTTGGACGGTATTAGAAATTATCCTCCAAGTCCTCCAACGTTTTCCGAGCCTTTCCCAGTTTGACAGTTTCCCATTGTTTCGGAAACAGACTGAAAAAAGGACTTCCAACAGCTTTAAGGCTCTCTAATCCGACAGGCGAGTTGGTATATGACACATGATCGTAAATGATTATGATTATTGATCGACAATTTCATCGTTTTAGTGGTCAAGCACAAGTCACAGCCGTGTGGTGTAGTACTGACCTGACATCTAATGTCTTTTGATATTTATCACTAACCTTCTGGTCCATGAGCGTCATTCTAAATCCACGCGCTTCGGCAATGACACAGCGGCTGGTCTTTGTGAACACACCGCAGTCGACTGTGTTGCAATATTTTACGAAGAGGGGCAAGGCGGAGAAAACTATCGCAGGAAAAACAAATTTAGATGTCGGGTATACAAGGAAAAAAACGAGATCGTCAAATTCAGGGAGAGTAGTTTTAACCTGGGGAATGTGTGTGCGTGGGGGAGGGGAACTCCCATATAAAAAAGAACAGGGTTGTTAGTCATAAATTTTGAAAAGAACCCCCTAAGGGGTAGAAAGATTCTGTTTTGTGGGCGTAGCTTGAAATTTTTTTCACCCCTAAGAGGTACCAATTCTGAAACAACACATGATCTCCTGTCATATTTTTTCGTCTCAGCACCCTAAAAGATACCGCGAAAGCTTCCGCTGTGGATCTTTTGAGGCTGGACACCCCAAGAGGCACCAAAACCGGTTTTTGTAATCCCTAGAAAGGTACAACGAACGACCCCGTCTTTTTATAAGAGTGTCCATTGTAAAACGCCCCAAAACGCTGATATGGAATCGAGAGTATGCATATTTTTATTATTTAGTTGAGTATTATATATTTTCATCACCGTTTTCAAAAGTCTTCGTTTTCACCAGTCCACACCGCTAGAAACGTCAGCGTTTTCAACTGTAGTAGTGTGGACCACAGGCGAAAAAGCATTAAAAAGTATGCGTTCTCAAACGAAAACCCATTAGAGTGGTCGGGGACTTAGTATAGCAATGATATAAAGACGAAAAAAGTAAAACTAAGACTCGCTGGAATAAATTGTTCTGAAACAGCCTCAAAACTCCACGGAAACACAAGAAGCACACAAA